TTATGGGTTATAAATGAAAAAGAACTTCTATAACTCTGAATATATATTTACATGTCATTACATTACATAGAAAATATATTTAAGTTAATTGCACAAGACTTCATTTACAAAGACACACGCACATGTAGATACACATACACACATACATACACACACACATGCACACACATAGAACAAGCAGAGTAAAGTTACCTGTAGTGCTGCAACAGCAGTAGCAGTAATTCCTCAGTCAACTCAAACATTGATTTAACAGCAATCTGGTCATAAATTTCTGCTCCTCACAGTTAGATATCGACATCCAACTTCATCATTATATACAATACAATAATCATCAGTTTCATTTGTACAGAGTAATCTCAAACATAAATAATTTGAGATAGCATGGATGAGTAATAACTCTAGATTGCAACAACTCATTGCACACAAATTCCCATTAAAAAAAATCTCCCCTGAACCACATAGTCTATCTAGGAATAGAGTGCGATGCTCAGTAGAAAAAGGTCCATGTTTACTCAGGCTCAAATTTTTATTTACCTCCTAGATAAATCGGCCATAATAAAAGATATCACCGTAGTATCAAGAGTCGTTAAAATCTGAGTACAGCATGAAGGGTTTAATTACCACGTTAAGCTACCATCAATTCACTCAATGTTTATGGAGAAACCCGTGATTAGAGTCTATTTCGTCTCTTCAGCCCAATGAATCCAGTGTTGGCTCAAAGATCTATAAATTGGAAGATTTTCTGTAGCTGTCTGTATATCACTTTTGGGCTTTACATGAGACTTATCACAGCATATGTATATCTTTGATAAACCTTATCACAGAGCAAGTTATCTCTGCATGTATCAATGTTTCCTACACTTCGTACTGAATATGGCATATAGCTTTTTTCATTCATTCATAATCCTAAAAAATCACATCACTTATTCAGCCATGAAGGGCAACTTACAAAAGTCATATTTACATCTGTTGGTTCAGAATGATAACATATAGTCTAAAAAATCTGGACTCCTTCATTAGGCTTTAATAAAACTGTTCATATTGATCCACATACATTTTGGCTTTAAATAAGCTTTTTTTATAAAATGTCTAAAGCAATATTGATCTCATCTCTATTCACATACATACAGCATCAAACTAAAGTTTTACAGTTTCAATACCCAATAATTTCTCTAGAGAAGGTGTAATCTTTACAAGGACCACTGAGGAGCAGTCATCAACAAGTGCACGGCTGCAGGACCCAACTATGCAACAGTGCGTACGTTTCTCAAACTCCTCTGGACTCAGTTCTAATGTTTCAATTGTCTTTGCCGCAATTATAAGTTCTTCTTGGGTCACTTTCAGGTGCTTCACAAGTTCCTTCAACAGCAGATACTTGTGTGGCTGTCCTTCCACCTCATAAGTATCTAGTAAGGGTGACTCACATAATTCAAATACAACCTGCATGTTCCACCCATCTTCCATATCTGAATCTTCCTTCTGTTCACTAATTTCCTCCTTATCCTCTTTATTCACTTCCTCACTGGACAACACCTTATTTTCTGATGACAGTTCCGTTGTCATGCTGGTGTCACTCTCTAATTTGACTTCAACAGATTTTGGCTCTTCCTTAACAGTGCTCTTAAGTTTGACTATCTCACCACCACTAACACTAAGCTCTTTATCTGACAAACTTTGTATACACTTTCCATCCAGTGACGATCCTTCTTCTTTGTCTGCTCTTTTATTTTCCGACTTCTGACCTTTATCTGCTTCATCCACCGTAATGTTCCTAGAGGTGACTGAATCTGATGTTGCCTTCACATCAGTGTCTTGGCTTGACTCCACATTGTCTTCTGATGATGTTTTATTGCAAGAAGGTGCTGGTATCATGCCAAATATGTCACATCCTTGTTCCTCAGGATCTGTTTGGGAATAAGAACAAACCTTGAGTCTTTTAACTTTCAACTAGATGAATGCTACTTATAATGCATGTACACTCGCACGCTCAAAAACACGCATAAACACACAGTGCACTACACACACGTACATGCACACGCATGCACGCACGCACGCATGCACGCACACACACACACACACACACACACACACACACACACACACACACACACACACACACACACACACACACACACACACACACAAAGATAAATAAATATACCATAAACAATGACAAATAAATAGATAAATGTTAAAAAATATATAAATTCAAGTCATCATGAGAATCAATTTCTTTTCAAACTAAAGATGGTCACAGGATATTCTACAAAAAGATTCAATGATCTACACCGTGGCATTAAGTTTCTTTATTATCATGGTCACCTAAGTTATCAACCACATACTAAACAGTATATATTACATGGTCATTTAAAATACCCTGTACTTACCACTAAGCCGTGTAGGACCAGCAAAGTGCCACATTTCGCCATCATGACCCTTGAGATCTGCAAGGAAACCTTCAAGGAGCTGCGTGCACTGGATATCGGCACACAGATCAAAACAGGTCTGCCCTGCATAAGTTGTGAGCATCGGGTCGGCACCATAGGCAAGCAGTAGGCGAGCCAGTTCTGCGTGGCCGTTTTCAACAGCTTCGTGTAACGGCCGCATTCCTTTGTATCCCGGGGCATTGACATGGGCACCATGGGAGCACAGAACCTGATGGGAAAGGTTGTACAGTTAAATAATTATTTTACTTGAAATTTAATGAATGAAATCTTATTGCATTCAGTATGTTAATTTCTATTGTTTTGCATTTAATGTTTATTACATTTATATCCCTATACATTTGGCTGAAAGTCATTCCCATATCAGTATACACAGTCTTGATTTTATCTTGTCTAACATTTACCTGTGCAATATCCAAATGACCTCGGTTGCAAGCTTCATGAAGAGGTGTGTATCCGGCATTATCCCGCACATTAATGTCAAAATCTGGACTTTCTGCACAGTACACAACCACATCCTGAGGAAGAAATAATACAAGATATGAATTATAGCAATATTACAGAATATAAAGATGCATCATAATTTTTTACTATAAGCTTTAATCATAAATCATATGAATACCTAAAAGAAACAATCATACTAATACCTTTAAAAAACTATCGGAAATGTATATAGAATCAGATATTATGTAACTTGTTTTGTTCATGACAACAATTCTACAACTAATAATTCTGAAATTCTTAAATACAGAGAAATAACAATATAAAAAACTAAATAAATGTGTACTTACATGATACTGAAGCCTTGCAGCTTTGTGTAACACAGTTTCCCCAAGACCTTTGTTGACAACCCAGCTTCGAACTTCAGCTGCAACATCACGGCTCTCTTCTGGCCAATTCACGTGCTTTCTGACAGGCTGTTGGGGCAAAGTGATTTCTGCTTTAGTATGATATTATAAGTAATACCGGTACATCTTAATTTACAAAATCTTTAAATTTGTTACATGATTATGCTTCCTTTCATTATCCTGGTAAATTAGCAGAAAAAATTAGGATAAAGATTACATATCTTATAGTGCAACACCTTTATAAATTGTTAATTCAATTTCCAAGCCCATTAAATTGCATTTTCCAATGGGGACTGAAACTATACAAAACTCTACAATTCTCATTATTCATTAATAAAAACAACAGATGTCTTACCAAGCGCTTCCTAGATGGTGTTGCTTCATCATCAGCCTTGACCTTCTTCTTTTTACGTATATAATCAAAACCACTTCTGAACTTGCGGAATTTCCGCCGTGCTTTCTTAGTCACACTGGGAGCTGATGATTCTCCGAGGACAGACTCCGAACGTTCACTGCGAAGTTCTGAGTCATCGTCCTCATCCCCAGCAGCCTGCATTGAGCCTCCTGGAGTGCTAGCTCTGCTTACAGGCACTGGAGAACTCTCCTCCTTTGCCTTACCCTCATCCTTCTTTCCTCCCTTCCTTAATAATGTTTTCTTGGCCTTCTTTAATTCTGCCTTCTTCAGCAGATGAGGAGGAATATCTGCACCAAAGACAGATCTAACAGTGGCAGCATCCTGAATCTGCTTGGTCTTGGTGCGTGTCCTAGACTGATAGAGTATTTGTGTGAATTCATTAATGCCATTCTTGGTGACCACTACCTCAAAGTTATCCCTATAATTACTAACTGTTTCTTTTCTGAAAAATGTAGCAATTTTCATCTCATTTGGTTCCATATTTTCAAGGTCCTTTTCTGTTGTAGGCATGCCAGGAGTTGGCAGGAGCTGAGGTTTGTTTGTAGCCTCAAGAATACTTCGAGGTTTACCCAGGCACAAAGTATTGAGCTTCTTATCATTGTATTTCCGCCCAATCTTCTTAAGCAGACTACTAGCAATGGATCTTTTAGAAACTGGTACACTATCAGATGCTGGCAGATCAGTTCTGATGCTTGCAAGGGAATCCAGGTCTGAATCATCGCTTGCTAACATGGAGGGAGCAACTGAAGGTGTTGGAGTCAGCCCTGTTGGGACTCGCTGCGCTCCATATGCCGGAAATGGTCCCAGATTAAACTTCTTGGAGGCAAGACTACCTTTTGACATTACATCAGAATCAGCCAAAACCTTTTCAAAGAATCTTTGCATTACACTACTTATTTCTGGTCTAGATGCTACTTTAAGTTTGTCATCTTCTGCTACTGCCATACTTGTCTTTATTATCCCAGATTTACTTCTCGTATTCTTAGCTGGGGAAGACGATCCTTGTCTTGATGGAGAATCCTTTCCAGAGTCACGGTCACGCCCTTTTCTAGAAGTTCCTTTGGATGAATTGGTGTCTTGGTGCTTGACAGAATGGCACAACTTCTTGGGAAGTCTGGCTGTGTGTTCTTTATACTTCTTTACATCTGTCTGCCATCCATGCAAGAAATCATCACCTACTCCAAACTGTGGTTTCTTCCAGTTGTTCCTAAAGCCCATTTCTTGAAGATTACAAAGTTGCTTCTTGATATCATTGTTAACCTCACCAAACCATGCTTTCATTTCTAATACATCCTCTCTGTTTAACTCTTCATTGCGCATCTTGTTAAGTTTCTCAATGACCGAATCAGCTTCTAAATTTGACTCCACATCTTCAGTTAGATCTAATGTATCCTCTTCTGCTTGCATTTCTCCTTCCTTTGCTTCATTATCTGTACCTGCCTTTACACTACACTCAGCTTTTTGCTCCTCATCAACTTTATCATCTACTTTCTCATCTGGTTCTTTAGTCTCCTTCTTTGAATCTTCATCTGAATCATCACTATCAACAATCAAACTACTCTTTTTATGATTTTTATTCTTTGCAGGAAGTTCTGAATCTTCACTGGAGTCTTCCAAGATCTTACTACCCTTTTTGATGTTGCCCTTCTTTCTTTGATCCATTTCTTTCTTCGTTTTGCTATCATTCTCTTCATCCGAGTCTGAAGATGAACTTACACTAGTAGATTCTTTTCTTCTCTTTCTGTTCTTTGTTTCCTGCTGTTTCTTCTTCATTCCTCTTGTCTTTCTTGGCAAGGCTTTTTCATCTTCTGAGTCATCATCAGAATCTTCTCTCTGACGGTTTTTCTTTTTCCTATTGGGAATACGACCTTTCTTCCTACCTCTTCTCGTTGACACAAATTCTTCTTCCTCTGATTCCGATTTATTTTTCTTCTTTCCTCTTCTTGTCTTTAAGGACACTTCCTCTGAGTCACTGGAGTCTTGCTTCTTTTTCCTCTTTCTGTTTCTCTGGACTGGTTTGTAAGAATCCTCATCACTTGAAGATTTTCTGCGACGCCTTGTTCTCCTCCTTGGTATGATCTCTTCCTCAGAGTCACTACTATCACTGTCCCACTTCCTTCCTCGCCTCTTTGGTTTCTTTCTCCCTACATCACTGTCTGAATCCTGCTTTCCTTTTCGTCGAGGTCTCACCAGCTCCTCTGACTCGGAATCATCACTATCAGAATCATCTGAACTTAAGCTAGAGCTACTATCACTCTCACTGCTACTACTTACAGAATAATCAGAATCCTGTTTATTATTTGGTTTATTCTCTTTATTCTTTCCACGTCCACCACTTTTTCTTCTGTCACTATCTTTCCTACCACTTTCACTACCACTGCTTGAATCCCCTCTCGGCTTCTTAAAATGACCCCGCTTTTTGTCCTTTGATCTTATCTCACGTTTCAATTCTTCTTCAAAATCACTGGCATCTTCATCCGGAATCATGTCAATGGCACTTTCATCAGAATGCGAGGCATAAGTGAGAATCACACGTTCTACTTTCTTATCTTTAATACTTTTGAACTTGCCACGGAACTTGACAGGAGCCTCAGGTTCGCTTTCATCTTCTTCTTCTAGAATGGCAGTAGGTGGAGGTGCAATCAGATCATTATCTATAGCATGCTGGATCTGCACCTTTTGCAAGTAACGTGCTCCAAGTGTTTTACTCTTCTTGCTTGTAACACCTTCAGGATTTGATGCTAAGTCTTCCAAGAGCTTGTCAAACCCAGAAGCCCATTCATCCTTCTCCTCAGGAACCTCTTCTTTCTTTGGTACAGGAGATTCTGTTACAGTTTCTTTCTTCACAACCAATGACTCCGTGCTTTCAGCTCTGTTTAGTTTCTTGTGAAGCTTGTCTGCCAAAGCAGCCTTGCCTGGTTCCAACATTTTGTTTCCTCCCTGATTTTGATCTGTCTTGTGAGCATCCTCCTCCTTAAATTCAAATACTGCAGCCACCTTTGGTCCTTCTTGGCTATTTGAAATGTGTGGCTGGTTCACAGGCCTTGAGCTATTGTAAGGTATTTGGTCACCTGTTTGCTGTGACTGTGAAGTGTTGTGCGCACCAGGTGGATAACTTGGCCATGGCTCTGTGTTCATTTTCAACTTTCCACTCTCAGCATTTCTAGGATCAAAAGATTTTTGTTCCCCCTTTGTACGTATCCGTGAAGGGTCAATATCTTGAGGTGGTCTTGCTTTTGCAGATGCTGCTGATGTCTGTGGGGGACTGATAAGTCCTGGGCCTCTAGCTGACCCTACATCATGACCCTGGCTTATGTGGTGAGAAGGATAGGGATATACTGGGTAGCGTGGCCCACTGCCAGCTCCTTCAGTCTTTATAGCTGGATGAGGAAGCTGTGGTGGCTGGTAGTGAGGTTGCTGAGGGTGTGGGGGATAAGCCTGAGCATGAGGCTGAGAAGGATGGGGAAGTCGAGGGTGAGATCCATGAGGCTGGGAGTTATGCTGACTTACCACCGGGTGGGATGGGTGGGATGGGTGGGATGGGTGGGGAGGATACATACCTGCATGGGGCATGTGGGAATGAGGGTGGCGAACGTGCATATGTGAGGGGTGTGGGTGGGGGGGTAGGTGGCCCTGGGAAGGGTGGCTCCGAGGAGGAGCATGAGAAGAATGACTTGAGGACTGAGGAGGCTGACCAGGAGGATGATGAGGATAGGATGGATGGGGCTGGGAGGACTGATGTGGTACAGGTGGATGACTTTGTGAAGAATGTGAGTGTGGGTGGCTCTGAGGGGGATAGGCCTGAGATGGGTGAGGATGGGAGTAGTAGGGTTGTGATGGATAATGAGGATATGGTTGGGAAGGATGTGACTGAGTTGAAGGAGGGATAGGGTGGGTTGTTGGATGCTGGATATGGGTTGGAGGGTGAGCTGGAGGATGAGTTTGTAAGGGTGGAATGTTAGAATGTGGTTGCGCTGGAGGATGATGAGGTTTACTTGAGAGGGAATGCATCTGAGATGATGAAGGGTGAGGATGGGATGGATGATGATGATGCTGTGGAGGAGGAGGATGTGCTGAAGGTGGTGGATGAGGTTGTGCTGCATGTGGATGAGATTGTGTGGGAGGAGGAGCAGGTTGTGAGGAGTGATGATGATGATGATGATGATGTTGTGCTGAGGGAGCAGAGTGCTGAGCTGGGGGAGCAGGATGCTGTGATGAAGGGAGTGAATGATGCTGTGATGAAGGTGGATGGTGTGTCGATGGAGGATGATGATGTGACGGAGGATGGTGCTGTGCAGGAGGAGGAGGATGATGTGCAGATGAAGGATGATGTTGTGCTGGTGGAGGTGGATGTTGTGCTGAGGAAGGATGATGTGCTGCATGAGTAGAGTGCTGTGATGAAGGGGGAGGATGCTGTGCTGGAGGAGGTGGAGGATGATGGGTTGGTGGAGGAGGATGCTGTGCTGGTGGAGGTGGATGTTGCGCTGGAGGAGGAGGATGTGTTGATGGAGGATGCTGAGCTGAAGAGGGAGGATGCTGTGCTGCAGTAGGGTGTTGTGTTGGTGGATGTGGATGCTGTGCTGGAGTAGGGTGCTGTGTTGATGGGGGAGGATGTTGTGCTGGTGGAGGAGGGTGCTGTGCTGAGGGAGGAGCATGTTGTGATGGGGGAGGAGGATGCTGTGCTGAGGGAGGACGAGATGGCATTGTAGAAGGATGGGACTGAGATGTTGGTGGATGAGATTGTGCTGAAGAAGGAGGCGGCTGAGAAGCTGGAGGATGTGAAGGCATTGTCAGGGAGGTTGGAGGAGGTGGATGCTGTGTGGATGGCTGCACTTCTAGAGCATGCTGTGACTGGGGAGCATTTGACTGGCTCGCACTAGGGTGAGACTGGGCAGCAGAGGAAGGGGGGTTTGACTGCGAAGGAGGTGGAGGATCCGACGAAGACTGCTGATTCTGATTAGGATGTGCTGCTGAGGGAGGCTGTGTAGATGAAGTGGGAGGCTGGGCTGAAGAAGGACGGGAGTGAGAAGGAGAAGCAGCCTTTGAAGAAGGAGGGGGATGTGGAGGATCTTGCGATGAAGTAGGTGGAGCCTGTGATGTCGGGGGAGGGGCAGACTGTGATGAATGAGCAGCAGATTGAGATGCAGGAGAGGTAGACTGTGATGCAGGACTTTGAGCAGGTTGTGAGGAAGGAGGACGAGACTGGGATGTAGGCTGATGAGACTGGGTTGAAGATGGAGGACGAGGAGGCTGTGTGGGGGTGGGAGGCTGGCTGGAGTGTGGGTGGGAGGGATGGGAATTACTAGGAGGAGGAAGGGATGCCTGTGATGGATGGGGGTGGGGTGGATAAGGCTGAGATGGGTGTGGGTAAGATGCATGGTGTAGAGGAGGATGTGACTGGGAGGACTGAGGTTGGGCAGGGTGAGCACTCGATGAATGATGATGAGGAGGATGGGTCTGAGAGGAATGAGGTGCTGATGTATGATGCTGAGACGGTGGTGGTGGAGGATAAGGCTGAGATGGATGAGATGACAAGGGATAAGGCTGAGGAGGAGGAGGATATGGTTGGGATGGGTAGTGTCCAGGAGGATATGGATGAGAGGGATGGGGTGGTGGTGGATATGGCTGTGAAGCATGGTGGGGAGCGTATGGTTGGGATGGCTGATGGGAATGAGAAGGATGGGGTGGAGGAGGAGGGTGCAGCTGCGACTGACGAGGCTGAGGATGATGGAGCTCTAGGGAGGAATGACCCTGTTTTCCCTGGTTGTCAGCTGATGGAGTTGGGGGAGGAGGGGCAGGGTGGGAATGATGTGGATACACAGGGGTTGGATGGGCTGACTGTCTGGAAGAAGACGGAGGAGGGTGAGATGAGAGAGCTTGAGGTGTGTGTGGCAGCTGGGGTGTAGCTGAGGATGGCCGAGATGAAGGCGGTGTGGTGTGAGCCGAATGACTCTGAGGACCTGAATAAGGACTAGGAGGTAGAGTTCCTGGATAATTATGTGAATGTTGACTCACAGAGACAGAAGGTGGGCGCTGTGAGTGATGAGGAGAATATTGTGAGGGAATTCGCCCCTGGTGGGAAGCATGGGGGGACACAGTTGAGTGGGGAGAAGCAGCAGGATGGGGAGATGCTGAGGGATGTGGGGAAGCAGACGGATGGGGAGACATGGATGGGTGAGGAGAAACTGAAGGGTGTGGAGATATTTGATTCTGTCTCTTGCTAGAATAAGTTGCATGAGGTGTTTCACTACGTTGTTGTTGGTGAGAATAGGCATATGCTTGATGGGCAGCCT